CAGTCATTCTTTCTTAAGGCCTTTGGAATCTTATTGATTCTGTGCCTTCCTTACACAAACTTGAGTTTCATTTACTATATCTGACTTCTGAAATTGAAGAAAAGTTATTTTTATTGGGTCACCAATGACCTAATCATCCATTTTGGCCACATCTCAGATTTCATTATTGACACATGACAACCACTCACAGGGACCCTGTGCTGCTAAGACACGTACCTTTCTCCCTCTACCCTTGGTCTCAGCACCCTCCCTCCCCCTTCCTTTCCTCGGCCCCCTCTTTCAAACACCTTGCCCATCTGGCCCTCTTGTGGCAACTCTTAACAGCTGTCAGAGCTCACACTCAAGAACTACCCAGTTCTGGTCACTCAGGGCTCTTGCTAATAGTGGAGCCACTTGAAACAGGAAGCAGGTCCTTCCTTGGTTTCCTTTGTGTGGTCACTATCATTGTGCTTGCTCGTTCATGAGGAACATGCTTGCCTCGTAAACTCTAGATGGTTCTTCTCTAACCGCCCGGGCGGCACGCCCCCTACTGTTATTCTTCAGACCTTATTCCAAGGGTTACCTCCTCAAAGAGGCTTTCTCTGTAGAGCATAAGAGAATGGTTAAAAACGCTTGAAGACAGTACCTTCCTTGTTTTACTTTTGGTTGCTGCCATCATCTTACTGTGCACATTCAAAAATATTTGCAGGATTTATGTGTGCTAAGAGCTTAAAGATGCACAGACTGCTGAGACCCTGACAGGTAACAAGTAGGCCATTACCCGAAGCTTGTTTTGTCCTCTCCCTTCTAGTCTCTTCTTCTTAAGACATAACAGATGGCGTAGATTTTCAGACGCTATTCTCTGTAGTTTAAAAATAGGTTTATCTCATTGTGTGCATCCCTACAAAGTGTGTTTAGCTCTGGTTGGATTTGAGCTATATGGAAATGGTGTTCTGTTACAGATACCTTCTCAAACTTTCTTTTTTTTCATGCAGTATAGTACTTCCAAGATTAGCCATGGATTTGTATCTATTTGTATTTCAGTAATTTTCTTAAAATTATGAACTGTGTTATTACAGATATTCTCTGGTATTATGTAAAAGTAAAATTACTGATTCAAAGTGATTCAGTTATTCACTTTTGCAGGGTTATACCGTATTATTTTCCAGACAAATTGTGCAGTGCGTTCACCCACCAGAAATGTACGGTGTTAGTTAGCATTGCCTCTCACTTGGCATTTTAGCCAGTGCTGATGTAGTGGAACATCTTTCTATAAGGCTTTTGGGGATAAAAAATATCTCTGGTATAGTTAAATATTTTAATTTTTTCCCTACTTTTCTACACAGTTGATTTTTCATTTTGACACTTAGGTCTTTGTAGTGTTCTGTTTGTGCTGTGGATTTCATTTTCTTTGTTTTGATGATTGGAAACTATTTTAATGTAGCAAGATTTAGCTGTCTTTTATGATTAAAAATTTTAATGTCTTTGTAAAGAAACTTGAGTGAGTATGGAGAGATTGCAGAGGACCTGAGTTTAGTTTCAGCATCCACACTGGGTGACTCACAGCCTCCTAGAACTTCCTTTTAGTTCAGGTGCATCTGCTGCCTTCTTGCTTCTGTGGATACAGACACACCCACACGTATACAGTTAAAGATAAAGTAAATCTGCGAGGAAAGAAGCAGCCGCAGCCTACCAGGACCAGATGCTCTTACCAAATGTCATGATGTACCCCTCTAGTCCAGTCCTCAGGAGGCTGAGGCAGGAGGATCCCGAATCTGAAACCAGCTGGCTCTGTAGTGAGTTCCTATCTTAAAAAAAGAAGGAAATGTTGTTATTGTATTTTTTATTCAAACTTTTGTTTTTCAGTTACATTTTATTCTGCTTGAAATTTATCGATCGATAGCTAGCTAGCTAGCTAGCTAGATATGTGGTAAGGATTCACTTTACTTTATTCTATCTTTGGGTAACTTGTTCCTGCATTGCTTTTTGGATAGTTCCTCCTCTAGGCCCTCACTCTAGCTAGCCCTTTGGTAATCTGACCTGAGCCTCTGCTATAGAGCTAAAACAAGTCTTGATGTTCTGTTTTGAGCCTAAGTCCTATACCTACTCCTCCACCCTCCAACATGCCTCTCAGATGTCTTGGTTCTTCTTAGCCCTCTGTTCTTATGTGTGTGTTTGTTCATTTAATTGGAGGTACTGGAGACTAACCCTACATCCACGAGCGTGCAAAATGAGTGCTCTGCTCTTGAGCTGCACCCTTGGTCCTGGTGTTGGGTTTGTAGTCTTGCTGTGGCAATCGCATGGAAATTGAGCGACATGTAGTCTAGGTTGCTTAACTTCTGCCTCTCTCTGTCCTCCTCTTGCCTTCGTTCTGGCACGGACTCACAATATAGCCGAGCTGTCCTCACACTTGTGCTTGTCTTGCGTCTGGCTCCTGAGTTCTGGAGTTACCGCTACATCCAGCGCATTTCTTGACCTGCTCTACTTGTGTGCATTGTGTAAAGGGTGTGCACGCTTCTTCATGTGATTCTGGCATCGCTACATCCCTGCTTCTCTCTGCTTCCTGTGTTCTTGCTCCAGTTGTCTCAGAGATTTATAATTCCCTTCTGTTTTGTGTTTCTGCCTGGATCTCTTTAATACTGCATAGTGCTTGTTTGTTTGTTTTTTCACACTTGTTCATCTGTTGAGCTTGGGCACACATTTTCTTATATCTATGCTTTTTTCCTGACATAATACTCAAAGCCATAAACTTTTCTTATAAGTGCTGCCTTCCACAAGCTTTGGTAAGATCTATGTTAAAATTTTTGGTTCTGAGTGTTTTTTGCTTTTGTATAGTTTTCTTCTTGCTCTGTTTGCTTTAGAAATATTTTTAAATTTTCAAATATGTGATAATTTTGGCTCATGTTTTCTTAATTGATCTTAAAATTGTTTGTGTGTGCAAGTACACATCGTGATATCACGCACTCTCGTGATATACTTGTGACTGTACCCTCAAAGGCCAGAAGTGGGCATCAAACTCTGGAGCTGGTTGTTGAGTTGGCTGACTTGAGTGCTGGTAACTGAACTGTCAGATCTCGAGCATCAGCACTCTTAACCGCTGAGCCATTCCTCGTCCCAAGTCTGTGTTTTATAAATGTGCCTTTGTAGGATTGGTTCCGTTAGCCTGAAGCGTATTCTTCTGGTTTGAGTTTATTCATCTTTACTGACGTCACCTTCCTAAATATTATCCTGATATTCACTGAAAAGTTGTTTCTGTTTTGTTTGTTTTGTCTTGAGACAGGGTTCACGCTCACCTGTCTCTGTCTCCTGGGTGCTGGGATTAAAGGTGTGTGCCACCCCTGCCGGCTAGACTTTCATAATACTCCATTCTAAAATTATCTCCATCTTCCCTCACTAGGTTTAAGCTCCTGGAACTGTAGTAGGTCGTCATGTATTTCCTTTTGTTTCCTAAAAGTCTATAATATAACGTTTTGTAATCAGCCTGATATCCATCCACAGTTAGCAAACTTTAATTATGAAGGGTTGTTTTTCACCTGGTGCTGGTTTACCCTTCCTGCCTGGTGACCTTGTTTTAGTCACCACGCTCCTTGGGCAATGACCTGTAGCGCAAATCATCCTGTCCCACTCTCTTGGCTAGTGTAGCTTGAGCGCATCATGAGAGCAAACTTGCTCCGTTCACTGTCACATGAAGCCAAGATCTTGGTGTGATCTGTGTTTCGGTTCTTGTTAACCTTTTCCTTTTGCTCCAGTCACTAACTCCTATAACCTTTCTTCTCTAAACAATTTTGCAGCCCCACCCCTCCCCCTCCCCCTGTGCTTTGTGTCTGTTCACCAGTGCTGGCCTCTGCTTCTGTGTAGGGTCAGGTGGCTTCGCTGGCATTTGAGAGCACTCAGCAGGAGCCCCTCCTGCCTGCCAGAGCTCTTCAGAGCTGGCCCTCCTCCCTGTCCTTTCTCTGCTAGACTCTTGATAATTGTTCAGGGTTTGGTTGATGGACCCTGTCCCTGCCCATAATAAAGTTGCCAGCCACTTCAGAGCTTCCTTAAAACAAACATCAGCACCGTGGAAAAGATCTCAGAGCAAGAGAGACAGACTCAGAAGGAAACTCACTCTGTCTATCCGTCTGTCTATCCACAGAGTAAATGCCGACGATTACTTCTAGTGCACACATTTTTCTCTCCCGGGTTTTCAGAGGAGTTTGGCTCACCCCTCTACCCCAGTAGGTAGCCATAGTTTCTTTCCACACATTTGCAGGAGAGGACCATGGGAAAGGCGTGAAGACTGGCTTAGCTTACTCTTTTCTTTGTAGAGCTCTGTGTTGGCTTTGGCTTTGGCTTTGGGTTTTTGTTTGTTTTGTTTTTTCAAGACAGGATCTCACTACAAAGCTCTGTCTGTCCTGGAACTAGCTCTGTAGACCAGGCTGGCCTTGAACTCACAGAGATCAGCCTGCTTCTAGAAGCCTCTGAGCGATGGGACTAAAGGTGTGTGTCACCACCGCCCAGGTTGACTTTGGTTTTTAATTGTTCTACAGTTTGAAATTGTATTTGGAGTCCCTTACTTTTGCTTTGATTCTAGCTGACGTGAACTCTAATGGAACCTGTCTGAATGTCAGTGATGCTTTTCCATAGTCCAAAGATACTTAGCAAGGTATACTCATTTGATTCACTTAGTGAATGTCGTTATATTGTATTTTGAAATTCTTAGGTTAAAAATGAGTGTATTTAATTTGTGCAGTTTTTTAAATTATGGGACAAATAGAAATGATAGCTATAATGACTTTGTAGTAATTTTTACATGACACAGTTTTGAAAATAGATATGTTTTCCTGCAAAGATGTTTATATGAATATAGTTCTAACTTCGAGGATATCAAATGCTTTAATATAAAAGGTGCTTAATCTTTAATAAACTTAGACTAAATGAAAATACATAAATTATATTTTCATATGAGAAAATTTTGTCCATTGTGGAGCATGTCAAAAGAATAAATGTAGTAATTTGAATGCTCTATTTTTTATTTCTAGAAACCAGCAAATATCCTAGTAATGGGAGAAGGTCCTGAAAGGGGGAGAGTCAAAATAGGTAGGTAATGATCCTGAGGTAACTGATGAAGAGACCAAGGTGACTACTGAGATGTTTCCCCCTTTCAATCCCTTTCTTAAGTTGTTGATTTTAAAATTACTTTCTTGGAGTGTTTCTAGAAAAGATGTTGGAAAATGTAGGGAGTACGTGAATCCACCAGTTTTTCCACAGCGCTTTCCTCAAAATAAAACGCTGTCGTTCTACGTTGCCGCGTCAGTTAACGAGCCCCATAAACACTTGCTCCCATTCGTATGCTGTGTGTCATCGCCTCTGTCCTGCAGACCCCAGCTTTATAGTTCTTTTGCTCCTCGGGCCAGTCCCTGAAGAAGCTGTCCCAGCCAGTAGCCCTGCTTGGAGGCTCTGCCTGATGGAGTGGGGCTGGCCGTCATGGAGGCTGCGTTGTCGGGAGATACTGGATCGTTGCTTTCCCCTTCCTGGTCCTTTCCCATGTGTGTTTTTCTTTTTAACACTCACATGCTTTCTTACAGGCACTTACTGAAGACGTGTGTTTTGCTCTGCAAAAGTGAAAAGGAGATAAAAGCTAGTCCCTCCCCATGAGAAATAGTCAGGCAGACAGACTTTTCACTGTGCAGTGTGTTCTAGTGTGTTCTGTGTTATGTTACCTCAGCCTCATAGCTGCCTCCTGAAGGTAGACACAGTAAGGGAAGCTGGATTGAAGAGCTGCGCCTTGCTTGCTCACGTTAAGCCGTGGCTGGGATCCCAGCCCTGCCCTGAGACTTCTCCACAGCCTCATGCGCCCTCACTGGTCCAACCCTTGTAGCCTTAAACACTAACGGGCTTTCTCGGGCCTGCGATGCACTGGTGCCACTCAGCTGTTCTGAGGTTCCTCCTGTTCCTTAAACACTGACGTCCTCCCTCCATTTTACAGTGAACTTACCTCTGCCAGTGCAAAGCACGGCTCTTGCCCCCAGATGAAGAGAGAATTTATTCTGAGCCAAACACAGTGGCTGTGACCTCTGAGCATGGATTCAGGTTGCCCCTAATAGCTGGCCCCACTGTGGGAGCAGTTACAACCAACTTCTGTAGTCACAGAACAAAAGGAAGCCGTGTGTCAAGGCATCGCCCAAATGCATGGGCAGAAGCATCAGGTAGATGGCAGACAGCTGATAGAAAAGCTGGGTGGAAGGGTGTGAGGATGCCATGGACAGATGGACAGATGGACAGCTCTACTGAGGATTTGATATATATCTGATGACATTCTCAGCTTTTAGATTGATGGACTTTAGAGGTCTGATGATACATTCTAGAGGTTTTATCTGATGGTTGAAAAGATATCAGACACAGGAACAATGAATAACAATACCCTGAGATCACTTGGCTCTGGGCCTGCAAAATTCCAGTTTTCCACAGTCACAGTCCTAGCCATTAGCCCTGTTGACCTTTAACATCGACCTGGCAAGTTTTTCTGCGAAGTTCTCCTTCTTGGCATGCACCACGTTTTGTACATGTAGAGGCTGGAGGTTGTTTTGTGTCTCGGCGCTGGGAAGGCTCATTCCTAGAATCTGATAAAGGTGAAACTGAGTAGGCAGAATAGCAGTTGACAGCAGAGAGAGACTATTAGACTCACCAAGGAAATAGCCCCAGGTCACATCACATGTTAGCTGCCAGGATCCAGGTTTAAAAAAAAAAATAAAAAAACTTCATTGATTTTTTTTTTTTTTTCAAGACAGCTGTACACTCTGCAAGCCAGGCTGGCCTCGAACTCAGAGTTCTGCCTGCCTCTGCCTCCGTGTTCTGGGATTAGAGGCGTAGGCCACCACTGCCCAGCCTTCTTTCCTTTCTTGTCCTCTGTATCTGACGTGTATTTACATGTGACAGATAGTAGATACATTCTATCTGAAGTTAAAAGTTAAAGGAACGCAGTATACTCTGGAGAACTAAAGGTGGCAGATGACAGCCAGCAAAGCAGCTCTCTAAACTGTTTCTCCCGTGTCTATGATCGTGGCCAGGGGTCTCTAATGCTCGCGCTATTTCAGGTGGTATTATTTTATTTATCCTATTACTTTGGCATTATACTGGAAAGCCTGGATAAATAGGTAATAGTTACAGAAGAAATGAGTTAATAATTTTTAAAATTCCTTCCAAACAACATTATTTTTCTGTATGTACCAAGTTTTACTATTGTCAGGAGTAGAAGTAGGAGGCCAAATCTGTGAGAGATCAGCATTTGTGAGTGTAATAAAATCTTATTCCTTATTTTACAATCAGAAAAGAAACTGGAACTCCGGTATGTTATTTCATGATTTTTTCCCATAATTTTTCCCACTGATTTACTATTCATTGTCAGAATAGGAGTATTTAAGATTTTCTTTCTTATTCACTGACGATTGTGCAGTTTATAAAATGTATTTTAATTGTCTCCGCCCCAACTTCCACTCTACCCAAATATTCCTTCGACCCGCCCCCTCCACCCTCATGTCCTTTTTAAACCCACGAACGCTGAGTGTATTTGGTGCTGCCGATATGCGCAGTGGTTCTGGACAGCCTGCCTGTAGCCACACCTTCAACCACAGAATTATGGGCACTCGCGTGCATGCGCGCGCACCATCAGCTGCCTGTAGCAGGTCTCACACGCCGCTGCCGTGCGTCCCAGGCTTGTGGCCATGTGCCCAGGTGACACAGTACTCCTCTCCATCCTCCAGAAGAGCATCTCTCACATGTTTCTACCCCCTTTCCTGCAGTGTTCCCGGAATGTCGAGGGCCAGGGTACCTTTAAAATCAGAAAACATGGGCTTAAAGCACCGTCTCTTAGATAGAAGAAGTTTGTTCTTTTGGGAAGAATAGTTTTATGTATTTAAATATGGAATCCCTTTAAAAATCTATTTTTTAAAAATTACTTTTAGTAGATTTGTTCTAAACCTTCCAGTTTAATACATACACTTCCAGAGAGATCTCCTTTGATGCTAGCTAGTTCGATACCAACACCATGGATGTGGTGGTGTTCACTTTGAGTTAACTCAAAGCCGTTGGGTATTAGTGCACTTAGCTGTTGTATGCCCTAGGACTGCCCAGAGCCTTGAATTTGTTGTATCACAACAGTCATGTTAGAAATAATAATATAGTAATCCAGATGGTTGAACCCAGTAATATTTTATCTCCTTTTTCTTACTGGGGATTCTGTTGGTTTTGGCTCTAGCTTAGATTTAAAATTGAGGTATCCCCAAAATGGAATTCCTTTTAGAAAATTTAAAGTAGGTATCTGTCAATGTGAAGATTAGATTTTTAAAAAGTTATACTAAACAATGAGATTTTTCTGTGAAAATATTTTGAGTCATTTTAACCATTAAGTTGCGCAAACACTCAAATACTTGATTAATAAAAGGATCTAATACCGTCACCCTCTTTTGTAGTTTTACTAAAACCAAGATTAGTGATTTATCGGTTAGGAAAATATACCAGGGAAAATGTACTATCCCTTGAACAGTTTTTAACGGTTTAAACATAAAAGAGTGAGTGTCAGGCGTGGTCGGAGTGCTCTGAGTTCAGTTGCTGGGCACTCAGTTGTCCTTCCTGCCCAGGTGAAGGGCATCCGAAGCATTACATCATTGGACAGTCACCTGTTTTTGTAAAAGCTCGTGTCATTTAGTTTTTCTTCAGGTGTTCACTTTGGAAGAACTCTGTAAACAATTTTGGATTTTTTGAGTTGTTGTTTTTTTAATCCCATAGTAGTGCACAATGTCTCATTACTAGAGATGGCGTATACAGTCCTTTGCCCGTTTTTTATAGGATGCCATGGGTTTGCTACTCAGTTACTGTCAAATCCTGGGGACAGGTGGGATTTGTCCCGCGTAGCTTTACTCACAAACAATCACAGTAGAGTGCAGACTTAGTGGAACAGGTGAAAACATGCACCCCTCACTCAGCCGGGGCCCTCTTCACCGTAAGCAAGGGCAGGGCCGGCCTACAGGCCTGCCGTGTGGATGGGATGATAGCTCTCCCTCGCTAGCTTTAAAAGTTAATCAGCAGAGACACCTGTACAGATGGAGAGCTGAATTAATAAAAGGTAAATAATCTGGATTACAGGTCAGTAAAATGCTCTGAAATTCTTCAGCAGATTCCAGAGTGCCTCAGATCTAAAGTGTTTGTCCAGGTACTGTGTAGATGTGTGGGGTCCCTGTCCCTGTGGGCTGTGAGGAGAGGCTTGACAGGCTTTGATACAGGACTTGCCTTGCTTGGGAACTTGTAGAGAGTAGAAGGAAAGGGTGATGATGACTCAGAGTAGGCAAGGAGACCAGGCTGGCCTGGAGAGACGCCTGCCTCTGAGTTAAAGGCATGAACCATCACCACCTGGCTTTTAACACCTTTCTTGTTTGTATAGTTTTCAAAACTCTTGTGTGTGCTTTTTTTTTTAATTAAATTTGTAATTTTATCATTTCTTAGGTGCTTTTATTTGCAAATAGAAGTAGGCTTCCCATTCAACATATTTTGCTTTATTGTGTACAACTTCTGGTTTGGAGAAAGAAAATAAAATACACAATGTAAGGATATTGAATGCTGTCCATTGCATGTGCATGTGTTTGAGATAAAGCCAAGTTATAGTTTGATAGGTTTCCCTGTTTTTCCAAATAATTGCAAGTGGAATTGCGTTAATTATTAAACAGAGCCAGGTGGAGTTCTAGTTGACTGTGGTCTCCAAACACTTCCTCCTTTGAATTTCTGCTTCTTCCCTTTGCTTTGGTAGAGGAATCTTTTTCATGCAAACTATATATATATATACACACACTCTTATATGCTAGCTAAAGGGGTTTGTGTTTGGAATCAAATATATGTGTGAGAAAAGCTACCTTGGGTCTCCTATCAAGCTAGGTTCCTCCCATTGTGTCTGGGTTTATTCTGAACATTTACAGGGGTTTGAGTGGACTGGGCGCCAGCGCCCACCCCTCATATGTGTCTTTATAGTGGAGCCAACGACGTTCCAGGAATGGGGTGTGTTGTCTCATCTTGAGTCTGACACCTTGCCCTGATGATTGTATGCTGTCTTTATGGTCATGAACTTGTAGACTTTGTAAGCTGAAGGGATGAGGTTCCCATTAGCTGGGGCTGCCATGGAGACTGCACAGGCACACTCGGGTTCTGGAGATGCTGGCGAGCACGTGCCCCCAGAAACAAGCAATATAGGCAGGTACCTGACACCCTGATGGGTGTGTGAGATAAACAAAGGCGTCTGATGAGGGCTCAGAGCACAGGACTGTCGACAGTCCACCACTACACCAGAGGGGAGGCTCAGTCCCCAGGGAGAGCTCACCACATCTACCCAAGGAGGCTGCGTGGTTGCCTGACACTAATGCCAGTCCACGTGCAGATCCCATGAGGTCTCATGGTGTGGGATCAGAACTGTCGACACAGAGTAGAGCTCTACAATCACTAAGTTACATCAGTGACTGAGTCTTCAGTGTCTTTTAAACTAGTTGTGACTTTTTCTGCACCACTTCATTTATTAGCATCTGTGTCCCTGTGTCTCATGTTGGTACACCCGATTGTTTCTCTACTCCTAATGTTCTAGCCTTAATGTTCACGCTTTGGTTTCATTTACCATAACTTGTTGGAAGCTCGCCTTGAAATCCGTTTCTCTGTCAAACCTCCGCCCCGGCAGATCCCGTGGCCCGTGTCAGTCACTGATCTTCCCACAGTGCGCGGGTCTGACATTGTGTGGCGGACTGGGTGTCCTGAACTTCATCTTCTTAGACTCCTTGTTGTTTTTGTGTTATTGACTGTGTTTACCTTAGCCACTCAAATCCGCTCAACATAAAATTCTGTTCTCTGCTCAGGCCAGCTACCTTATTGTTAAGAATTTTAAGATTAGCCAGGCGTTGGTGACACACACCTTTAATCCCAGCACTCAGGAGGCAGAGGCAAGTGGATCTCTGTGAGTTCAAGGCCAGCCTGGTCTACAGAGCGAGTTCCAGGATAGCCAGGGCCACACAGAGAGACCCTGTAAGTACACTGTTCTGCACGTGCACTATTCTGTCTATGCACATATGTGCATAATAAATACTTTTTAACTACAGCAGAACATGTTTGTTTGAGTACTTGCCCTTCATGTGAACATAGACAAGTAGTTTAGTTGTTTTGGCTTTAAATTCTTCATCTCAGAAGTGAGAAGCAACGTACTAAACTAGCGTTCTTACGCAGGTGAAATGAGATTATGTGGCATGCGCAAATGCCGCTTGTAAAGTATCTGATAGATGTGAGGTACTTCTTACTTAGGAAATCTTAAAAAACACCTCTAGAACCTTATAGTGACAAGTACACCTAATACTTAGCTTTTTTTTTTTTTTTTTTTTACATCTTTGTTAAATGAATTACTATAGTAATGGTCTATGTCTTTTTTAGCAATTATTTACTGTATGTTTTATATGAGTTCTTGGGATTGTGTATGACATGCATTATAATCGACTTTGTAGGGGAAAGGTCCAGTATGGTTTTTTGTCTTGTGTGCTCTGATTGCTTCCGCACAGCCAGTTCCACAGCTGCAGTCGCTGCCACTGGACACATGTAGTTCAGCCCTCCTGAGTTTGCAGCAGCTGATTTCAGGGCACACTGCTAAGTGGTGTGTGTCGGTTCTCGGTGTCTGAACGAGGGGCTTTTGCAATGCCCTGACTGCTCCTAAAAAGCCAGGGCTGCAGCTGAGCTTAACGATTGTGCTCTGAAGCTTTAGTTTCCTCATCAGTAAAGCAGAGCTCATGCAGAGGGCTCTCTCTCTCTCAGTAAAGGTAAGCAATGCAGTTCCTAACCAGGGTGCAGTTTTTAGAGCAAGCGTCCACCTTTGAAAGGTTAGCAGCAGTTACCAACCCCTGCATGACTCTGACAGCTTGTCAGATTGAGTTTTATTTGTCTACCTTATTTTTCAGCTGACATGGGTTTTGCCAGACTATTCAATTCTCCTCTAAAGCCTCTCGCAGATTTGGATCCTGTGGTTGTGACATTTTGGTATCGGGCCCCAGAACTTTTACTCGGTGCCAGGCATTATACGAAGGCCATTGGTAAGTGTCGAGGTGGGCTCTCCTCAGTGTGAAATCATTCCTACCAAAGCCAGTGTGCATGAAGCAAGGATGTGCACACCTCCCTTATGAAGAGTTGGAAAGGGTTAGAACTGTCTTCACAAGGAAACCCAGCACAGGGTACAATGCTGGAGGAAACTCCCGCTGTGTCCTCACCAAGACACGGCACAGGGTTCCATCTCTCTCGATGTCGTGTCTGCATAATGGCGGTTTGTCCACTGAGGTAGGGAATACAGTCTCAGTAGGATTGTATCACTCAACAACTTGCCAGACCACCAAAAGGAGAAAGGACCAGAGAAAAGAGTGTCCCTTCAGATTGATGCTCTTCCTTACACCAGAGGCTTTGGAGATTTCACTGTCTGACCATAGAGGAGACTCCGCCCCGGTTAGGGGGTAGCAGGCAAGAATCACCTCAGCTCTGGAGATCTCTTTACAGTGAAGACGAAGGGCAGGCAGGCAGGCAGGCAGGCAGGCAGGCAGGCAGGCAGGGGAGTAAACAGAGCCCAGGGCCTTGGTTTCTAGTGTTAGTATTTCTAGAGGACTCTGCGTGTTCCTTCTTTTTCAAAACTTTTGCTGTAGGCAGTTCCACCTTGATCGCCTTTGCTGTCGTTGTGTCTGTTTAACAAGGGCACTAAGGTGGAATGTTAGTGAAGATCCACCAGAAATACAGTCCTGATTCTGCTCAACAAGCTTCTGAGAAGGGAACGGCATGCCACTCTGAGCAGGTGTGGTGAGGCAAGTTAGCCTCTCAGTTAATTCATGGGTAAAAAGCAGACAAGTATTCCAGTGCCTTACTCACCAGAAGGTCTGAGTTCTTCAAAATCCAGATACTGTAGCACAGTGCCGAAATAGATGTCACTATAAATACAAATGAATATAAGTCAGTGTAAATATAAAATAACCATAAATTGCTGAACATTTGCAAAAGCTTCTGAGTGGTCTCACGCCTTGAAGACAAGTGTGTTTGACTGCAAAGGAGTGTGAGTGTGACCCTGGACTTGTGTCCAGTCAGATCAGGCTGCTGAGGCCATGCCATCAGTAGAGTGCCTGGAGAGGCCTCAGGACCGAGAGCTAAAAACTAGTGCGGCTCTTTTGTACTCTGACCTAAGGGGTTTGCTTTTCTTGTTATCTAGGTCTTTTCCTGCCAGCTATTGGGAACAGTGCCTTAGATAACCTCAGAAGGCAGCAGAGGATAGGAGGGGAGAAGTCTGAGAACATGTGTGTGGGAGTGTTAATTGGAAATTAATAGAATCATACAGTAAGCAAGGTGGTATATAATTCAGGCCATAGATAGGGAGGATGGTAGAGTGTTCATCCTTTTGGTATTGCAGCATGTAAAATGACCTTGGCATCCATAAATGCATTGGGCTACATTCATAGCCATCCTGGGACTGAGGCAGCTCAAAGGGTGCACATGCCTGGTAGATGTGAAATCAGAAGCAATACATATGCCCTTGGCCCTCACCTATGACTAGTACAGTATATAAAAGGAAGGTTTCCCATTAAGGAAAGAGATACTTAACCAAAAACAATTTTTGTGCCAAAATTGTTTTCCCACTGTCTTACATTTTTCTGTTGTGACAAAAACACCATGACTGAAGCAATTTATAAGAGAAAGAATTTATGCCAGCCAGTGGTGGCATACACTTTTAATCCCAGCACTTGGGAGGCAGAGGCAGGCGGATCCCTGTGAGTTAGAATCAGCCTGGTCTACAGAATGAGTTCTAGAACAGCTAGGGCTTCTACACAGAGACCTTGTCTCGGAAAAAAGAAAAAGAGGGGGAGAGAGAGAAAGAGAGAGGGGGAGAGAGAGAGAGAGCGCGCGCGATGGTCAGAGTCCTTGGCTGTCCTGGTGGGGAGCACTCTTGGTGGGGAGCACTCCTTCAGGCAGGAGGACATGGTCTAGAGCATTAGCTGAGAATTCACATCTTGGCCCACAAGCTGGAAGCAGAGAGAGCTAACTGGGACTGGTGTGGGCATTTGAAACCCTGGAAAGCAGTGACACACCTCCTCCAACAAGGCCACACCTCCTGATTCTCCCCAAAGGCTTTCATGCTGGGGACCAAACACTCTACTACCTGAGCCCATGGGGGCCGTTCTCATTCAAACTGCCACACCCCAATGTTAATTGTCACACACAGGCACTAGTCCCCAGTGTCAGCACACTGGGGAGCACACTGTTTGAGAAGCACAGCTGTAGGATTTTTCTTGCTTTAGTTTTCCCTCTGCTGTTAAGGAAGTAGATGTGATGGGTTTGTTGTTGTGTGTTTGTTTGTTTGTAACAAATGTAATTGGCTATAATTTGAAAGTCAACTATTTCTTTTCTCCTTGAGTAAGGAGAACTGAAAATAAGTGTTAACCAGTTTGCAACTTTTGTTTCCCAGTTAACAAGATTTACCATTTAAGGTAGAACATAATTACTGGCCAGGCACTGGGGGGGGGGGGGCGCCATGGCCCCGGGGTCTGTGGTGCTGGCTTGCGCCTACGCCTTTGTGTTTGTGCATTCAAGACAAGCACTCACCAACTGAACTATGCCCCAGCTTCTGTGTGTCTCCTCAGGGTGCTTACTGCACTTGGCACACTGCCCTACTGAAGCATGTTTCTGTCTGTATGGTGGGATTTTATCCAGGAAGTGTAACTAAGGAAATGCAATGCATTTTTATAAACGTTGTTTTTCCCTTCATAGATATATGGGCAATAGGCTGCATATTTGCTGAATTGTTGACTTCAGAGCCTATTTTTCACTGTCGTCAGGAGGATATAAAAACAAGCAATCCTTTTCATCATGATCAACTAGATCGTATATTTAGTGTCATGGGGTTTCCTGCAGGTAATTTGTTGCCTTTTTCAAAATGCTATTCTGAGTTATATTTCAAAAGTGTCCCTTTGGAAGAGCATACATAAAGTTTGTTATTTATTTTTAAACTAAAACACAAGGGGGCTTTTAATAAGGTATTTTCTAATAAAAATCTTTTTTTTTTTTAAGATAAAGACTGGGAAGATATTAGAAAAATGCCAGAGTACCCAACACTTCAAAAAGACTTTAGAAGAACAACGTGAGTAATCCCAGATTACCATAGTCCACGTGTGCTGGGAAAAAGAGGCAAAAGTCTGAGATGAGAAACCCTGAACAGCAGGAATTAACTTTCTCACAGTGCCAGGCGCTGGCAGACTGGCCTGTTTGGCTGCTCTCTGCTTTGTAGAGTGCCCTTGTTGCGGGCGGTCTCCTATGGTGGGAAGGCGAAGGGTGAGAACTGTAGAATCTCTCTTCTAAGATGTTAATGCCACCCACGGATGCAGAACCCTCCATAACAAACACCTTTGCAGGCCTCCCTGTGATACCAACACACTGGGGAGTAGATTTCAGCGTGAATGTTGAGTGATATAAATACTCAGGCTCATTGGTTACAGAGTGTAGCTTCAGTAGGGAAATTCAGTCTTTTTCAAAAAGGCTGTAGATTTAAACCGGAAACTCAGGTGTTAGTTTACATGTCATGTCTGTAATTTAAAGAATATTCCAAATGATTTTAACATATATACCCAATTTAGGGCTGTGATATTTAAAGACACAGGCCAGGTCTGATGGCTTCTTTCACCCCAGCACTGAGGAGGCAGAGGCAGGTGCATCTCTTGAGTTTGAGGCCAGCCTGGTCTGCAGAATGACAGGGCAGCCAGGGCTACACAGAAAAACCCTGTCTCAAAAATCCCCCCAAAATAACAAGTAGAAACGGTTACAGTTTTAACAAAGGGCTCAGTCCAGTACTACAGCTGTGGTTTTATTCCCCATTTTTAAAATTCACCTATTAAACTGCTGTGGTAGTTTGAATGTGCTTGGCCCCATAAGGTCACAGGGAGTGACTCTTAGGAGGTGTGGCATTGTTGGAGGAAGTGTGCCACTGTAGAGATGGGTTTTGAGGTCTCATACGTGCCCGGGCCACACTCACTCCCTCAGCCCATTTCCTGTTGCCTGAAAAATGTAGGGCTCTCAGCTCCTTCTCCAGCACCAGGTCTGCCTGTGTGCTGTCATGTGTCACCATGCTAACAATGGACTAAACCTCTCAAACTGTTTTCTTTATAAGATTTGCCATGGTCATGGTGTCTCTTCACAGCAACAGAAACCTAAGACAACCACCAATGGAATCTCAGTCTGAAATAGAAACCCCATCTGCCCTCTTAATCCTAAACCTCTGCGCCCTGTATTTCAAGTCCTGAGAAAAGACTCCATGATTCACCTGATTGTTGAAGCCCCAGACCTGTGAGACAGAACTGTCATGCGTTGAATTCCCCTTACCTCTCAACACACGTACCTCTCCAAATGACCAGCAAATCTACTCCATTCCTTTTTCTGGAAATGCTCGGAGTCTCTTTCTGCCCATCAACCTTGCCAGCATAGTTAGTACAGCGGCTTTCTCTGCTTACGGTCCTGCAGTGGCCTTCCTGTAGTATTTCTGACCCTATTTAATCTAGGTGTGGTGGCACATGCCATTAATCGAAGGCTGAAGAAGGCTGATCTCTGAGTTAGGTCAGCCTGGTCTACAGAGTGGAGCTCCAGGGCAGCCAGGGTAATAGTAAGACCCTGTCTCAAAACAACTGCAAACAATGGAAATCACTAAAGCAGAATATGTTGAAAACGGCAATCTGGAAACTATTTCAAATAAAAAATAGTATTTCAAAAGTAAAAGAATGTTAGCTTGCTTTTATTGGAAAAAAAGAACTTCCAAAATACTTTGCAAATGAATTGCTGAGAATGAGTCACTTTGAAAAGCTACATGTTCAAATGAACACAATTTGATAAATCCTGAGAAAGTTTATATCACTTTGGAAACTGTTCAGCTTCTAGAAGAGTTTAGAAAGTAAACAGTTCATATTAACTCCAAAACCAAGGAAAAATAAAACAGCTACACCCAAGAACTTAGCAGTGAATTCAAGGCTTTTTATATGATTGAGACAACCTAGCATCTAGTGTTAGCGCAGGAAAACAGCTGATTGCACTAAGAAGCCCTAAGACAGGAAGAGAAACGATTTTTCTTGAAACCATAAGGTTTCTTACCATTCCCAGACCACGTACGTACCTTGCCCATCAATTCTCTGCTGCACTTAAGTGTTGTCAGGGCGCCTGGCTTCTGTTCTTCTGTGAGAGCAAGTGTTTGGGGACTTGCTACAGATGCAGCATACCCTCCTGCCCCAGATACCCAAGACACTAACCTGGGCAGTATAACAAAATCCCATTCCAAAGACAGGGCTAGAGAGATGGCCCGGCAGGTAGGAGCACTGGCTGCTCTTGCAGAGGACCCTGGTAAGGTTACCAGAACCCACGTTAACCATCGTTAACTATTCACATGTAAGACATACACCTACATGCAGGCATACATTTGTACATGCAAAATAACTATTGCTGGGGATATGTGTAGCTCAGTGGTAAGGCTTGTTGCCTAATATGTGTGCGGCCCTGCCTGGCCTTGATCCTAGCACTGTGCAAAATAGAAAGCAACAAAACAACAAAAATACTTCCAAATGTGCACGTTTCACCTGATCATCCCAGGGGTGTATCCTGTGAAAATCAGGCTGCTACAGGGCAGGGTTAAGTCCTTTGTGCTCTTTCTAGGGAACAAGCTTACCGGGCAGATACAGTTATGATCCACGTTTTTTTTCCTAATGAGGAACTAAGTCTTCATAGATGTTAACCTATTGCTCAGGATTACACAGTGGAGAGATGACCAAGCCCAGGTCTAGTAGCAGTCCCCAGTACTCAGGAAGCACCCTTGCCACGGGTGCCCAGTTAGCCCATAGCTGTGGTGAAACCGCTCTAGATAAGTAGGCAATGTATAGAACTTTTGATAAAGGGAATGTTAATGAGACAACATTAAATGTAAAAACAGAATTTTTATACTGGTTCTAATTTTTATCAAACCAAACTAAAAAAAAAAAAAAAAAAAAATCCCCTGGTTTTACTTTGTGTGTGTGGATGGAGACATGGCAGCGGTCCTGTGAGCCGCGTCTACTATGGGCGTCGGATTCTGGTTTTACTGTGTGTGTGTGGATGGAGACATGGCAGCGATCCTGTGAGCCGCGTCTACTATGGGCGTCGGATTCTGGTTTTACTGTGTGTGTGTGGATGGAGACATGGCAGCGATCCTGTGAGCCGCGTCTACTATGGGCGTCGGATTCTGGTTTTACTGTGTGTGTGTGGATGGAGACATGGCAGCGGTCCTGTGAGCCGCGTCTACTATGGGCGTCAGATTCTTGCTCCAGGTGCCTCTCTTTCTAATACCTTTTTGGTTTGAGGGGTTTGGTTTGGTTTGGTTTTTGACACAGGGTCTCTCTATATAGCTCTGGCTGTCCTGGAACTCACTCTGTAGATCAGGCTGGCCTCGAACTCAGAGATCTGCCTGCCCCTTCCTCCTGAGTGCTGAGATTAAAGGTGTGTGACACCCCCCAGCCTATTTACACAAACTTAAAAAGCACCCACTTCTGCTTCAAAAATAAAGAAATAATAAAAGGGACATTATCAAAACACTGACAATGGTTTATGTATCTATTTGTAGAATACATATCTTTTATATTTTGAAACCATTGAAATTTTAAATATTTCATATATAGGAAGTAGTGTTATAATGTTGTATACTTAGAATAATCAAATGAACATCCCCTCATTGGCCTCTTAACTAACAAGTAGCATGTTACTAATTACTGACATCTGTGGGTACCTCCCTCCTCGTTCCCTCACAGAGGGAAGCTTGGGGGTTCTAAATGTGTGTTTGTGATTTCACAGTCTTATTGTACATGTATGTATACTTAAAGTTTGCTATGTCTGTGAGCTTTATCTAAATGGTGTTATTCGTCTCCCCTGTTCAGTAGTATGGGTTTATAACGTTTCATTTTCTCTGAGTTTATTAACAGTTGGTTTACCTGGTATTTGTGTGTCTTTAGTAGGTGGATATTTGGTTGTTTATAGGTTGGAGGTTGGTGGGTTTTGTTGTTATTGTTTGGCTAGTAAGAATATTCTTACATGTCCTGATATTCCTGTGTGAAAGTGTCCCTTACGCTAGGCCTGGATCCTAGCTGCTCAGGAGGCTGAGACAGAGGGTGGTGTCAAGGCCTGCACAACTCAGTGAGACCTGTCTTAAACTAGAAGGGGGCAGGTGGAGGGATGACACTCAGCTGTAGAGCACTGCAGAGCACTTGCCCAACATGCATGGCCTACCTGCCAAACCAAGCCAGCCATCCCTAGGTGTGAGTGCATCACCGCGATTGCTGAATTTCAAGAGGCTTGTGTTTTCAGCTCTGATGGTTACACACAAGCATTCTCAACGTGACCATAGCACTAAAAACCCTGAAAGGTAGTGATTAACAACCGTGTTAATATTAAGTATATCTTACCGTGTCAATATTAAGTAATGTGTTTGCACATAGGAACCTGCCTTAGAACTGTTCCTTAGGAATTCAAAGCATGTAGACTCCTACTGACATGTGCATGTGTCATTGCAGATACGCCAACAGTAGCCTCATAAAGTACATGGAGAAACACAAGGTCAAGCCCGACAGCAAGGTGTTCCTCTTGGTAGGTGCTCCCCAGTGACAGCACGGTGTTCCCCCTGGTAGGTGCTCCCCCGGTAGGTGCTCCCCGCTGACAGCAGGGTGCTCCCCCGGTAGGTGCTCCCCCTGGTAGGTGCTCCCCGCTGACATCAGGGTGTCCTCCTGGTAGGTGCTCCCCACTGAAACCTGGTCAGCACAGCTATCTTCTTGTCCTGTTTACTGTGGGATTGTCCCAGCTAGTCTTCCTTGTGAAAGAGGGGGTGAGGGCGAGAGAATATTTAGTCGCTGGATGCTTTAGAAATTAGATGTTAGTCTATTGACAGTCATGCTTGACTTCTAGTCTTAATTTCTTGAATGATTCTTATCAGAAAAAAGAACTTTAACGAGCCTTAGTGGTAATTTCATAATTATGTGTGTAGGCTACTAATTGTGCAGCCGTTCATCATGGTGTGAGGCTGACAAGATGGTCAGTGGGTACGGGCACTTGCCGCCAAGCCTTGACAGCTTGGGTTTGGTCCACGACCCTGGACCATTTGAAAGAAGTGACTCACGAGTGTGAAAAAGATGTATCTAATGTTAATCGTGTGAGACATTAATTCAGAAGTCAGGTGACTTGTCAGCAACCTTATCATGTGCTGTCATGTGTATTTGCTGTTAGCTTCAGAAACTCCTCACCATGGATCCAACGAAGAGGATCACCTCAGAGCAGGCTCTGCAGGACCCTTACTTTCAGGAGGACCCCTTGCCCACGTTAGAGTACGTACCCTTCCTTCCCCTCCCCTCGTCTTCACTCCGAACTGAAGGTGTTGGCAGCTGCTGAGTGCCTGACATGTTCTGCTTTGCTCGTGAAGACTGCGCAGAGAAAATTGTTGACAGAAGTTTCTGTCCTGCCTGGTCCCACAGCTGTTAGTCCCAAATAAACACACAGAGGCTTACATTGATTATAAACTGTTAGGCCAATGGCTCAGGCTTCTTACTGGCTAGCTCTCTGTTAATTATTCACCCAAATCTATTAATCTATATATCTCCACATGGACAGAGAATGCCCAGACGTCCTACCTTCCCAGTAGCTACATGGTAGCTAACTCACTCTCTCGAGTTCCTCTTCCCAGAATCCTCCTGGTCTGCTAGCCCCGCCTTTACTTCCTGCCTGGCTACATCCCGCCTGCCCACTGGCCGAAACAGCTTTAGTCATCAACCAGTAAGAGAAACACATACTCATAGCCTACAGAAGGACCTCCCCCACCGTAAAATCTGCTCAGAGAAAGGCCACACCACTTCCTAGATGAATCTAGAGCAAGGCAGGTGCAAGTCAAGCACCAGGTAACGGGTGGCATGGTGCGTGCGTGTGGCAGCCTGTGGACGCCGCTCCACCTTCCAAACGTGTGCTCCAGGCTTGTATATAGTAGAAATCCTTTTTTTTTTTTTTTCTTTCCGGAAGGGAGACTTATTTTCATGGTGAAGTCATCCCAAACTCAGTTTAGTGTGATGCTGCTGGGTTAGTGCGAACAGAGTGCTGTGTCATTTCTGTGAGCGTGCTGCAGTGACAGCGGCAGTTAGCAGGGGCGCGAATGGGCCTTGCTTCCTTCCTTACTGCTTAAAGGAAGTTGTTTGGAATGTGTCGGGCAAACACCAAGCACAGAAAAGCATAGGATGTAAGTCAACAAATAAAAAGTAAAATTTTAAGGTAAGGTGATGGAATTACAGATTTTAGGTATTGACATGTGTTTCTTTTAAATGGTTTTAGTGTGTTTGCTGGCTGCCAGATTCCATACCCGAAAAGAGAGTTCCTTAATGAAGATGAACCAGAGGAGAAGGGAGACAAGGTACAGGCGTCAGCAGCCCTGACTGGGAGAGGAAGCGCAGCGCAGGGGCGATTGAGGGGGTGATTTGATGGCCTCTGACTCTGGTTTTACTTTGCTCTTTGTGGGAGTTTGGCCGCTGAAGGTGTACTGAAGCGTACACTAGCTTCCTACTCCTTCCCAGTTCCGTTAGTCCGGTGCCGTCTCCGCTTGCTATGCTTTTGTGGGCATCGCTGCACCCCTTCGTGTCAATGGGAATGTTAGCCACTCCCCACCGCCCTTTTTGCGAAGTCCTGACCGAAAGGGCTCTTAGTTTAAGGAGTGTGATGGCACTTCCTGTCTGCCTTCTGGTACCCACTGAAATGTCTGTTTGGTTTGGAGATGGTGTGTGGTCTAAATGAATTTCAGAGAGCATTACTGTTCAGGGATCACTATGTTAGTCTTCGGGAGTGGTTTATTTTGGAGGTTACCCGTCTCCAGTCATTCTAGTCACCCCGTGACCAGGTTATACCCTAGGTGTGTCACCAGGCATGGCTATCAGGCAGTGAAATGAATTTCCCACTCATCTGGCTGCACAGCTAAAGTTTGGATCTTTCTCTCCCCCGCCCCACCCCCACCCCCTAAAAGAATCAGCCCCAGCAGCAAAATCCACATCAGCAGCCCGCAGCCCCCCCACAGCAGCCCGCAGCCCCCCCACAGGCGCCTCCACCACAGCAGAGCAGTGCCCAAACCAATGGGGCTGCAGGGGCAGCTGCGGCCACCGTGGCTGGTGCTGGATCAGGGCTGCAGCTCAGCCAGGACCCCAGCCTGAATCAGGTGCCTCCCAACAAGAAGCCCCGGATTGGGCCTTCGGGTGCAAGCGCAGGCGGGCCGGTTATGCCGTCGGATTATCAGGTACTCCCTGTCTGCTCCTTTCTGATAGGAATGTATTTTATGAAATGAGAAACTGACTTTTAACAAATCCTTTTACATTTATTTGAATAGTTCTTAGCTCCAAAGTCTGATATGAAAACTAGATATTTCTGGCGTTACATGAAATCCCAGGAAGATTTTTGTCGTTTCGATCAGTTGTGAGGTAATTTGTATTGTGACTTGTTTATCATAAAACCCCAAGGAGAGGAAGGGAGGCAGGAGGCTCCTTAAAGAAACTGTCGGTACTTCATCCATATCTGCCACAGACTGGGTAAGTGTCTTACTCAGACAAAATCAAGAGCACTTAGAAAAAGACAGAGCTTGAGAAAAATTGCTCCTCCTGGAGGAAATAGCCAGTAGCCACATAGACATGGGAGAGGGTAAAGGCTGAGCATCAGTTCTCAGGAACAGTGTAAGTCAGACTAAAACCGTTTAAACACTAGATAACACTTCTGGTGTAAAGACAAAAAGGAAATCAGCTGTACTACTAATTTAGGAGGGAAATATTTCCCTCACATCTGATTCTTGGATTTCTGAGGAGTAAAGTATCTTTAGGTTTGTTTTATCATACTCTTCAGGATAAAAAGGCCAGTGTCTTAAACCAGTGTCATATTTTGTTTTTTTGTGTTTGATTCTGAGTTACTTTTACCTTGTTTTATTTGGCACCAGATTGAATTATTCTGTGAGACGACTCTGCCTTGTTTAGTTTCCATGTGTGGGATTTTAGGCAATTTCAATATAAGCAAGTATGAATGCTTCAGAAAAGGAGTACAGTGTAGTGGCTTCACCTTAGAATCTCAGCACTTAAGATTCTGAAGCAGATAGGTTGTGGGGAGACCTAGGACCAGCCTGGCTTATGGAGTGAGTTCTAGGCCAGCCCTGCCTTAACACACACAGACACAGATACACACACAGATACACAGACACATACACAGATACACACAGACACACAGACACATACACAGATACACACACAGACACACACACACATACAGACACACAGACACACACACACACATACAGACACACACACACACACAGACACACACACATGGAGACACATACACAGATACACACACACATACACATACAGACACACACACAGACACACACACACACACACACACACAAAGAAAAAGAGGAGGGGGAGTGTGTGCATTTTTTCCCTATTGGAAAAGAAAATATTGTCATTATTAAAAAGTTGTTTTAGCACAGGCTTTATCCTAGGCTGCAGCTTTCTGTCTGCTGATCTCTTGAGACCTGTCCTGTAAGCAAATAGCTTTATTTAATTTTTTGGTGGGAATGTTTTGTTTTGAATATTCCCTGAAGTTTGTAATAACTACCCACTGCTAGCCTACGCTGTCAGTCTCTTTTGTTTGGTGATTGGTAGGCTCCCAGCGTCCCTAGTTTCTGCCTCTGAAAACTCTGCCTTAAAAACATGATTTCCCAGTCATAGCTATTTATGAAATGAGAATTAACAGTATGCAGTTATGTCTCATGGATACCTTTTTTCTGTTTACCAAATTAATTGTTTTGTTGTCAAATCTTAGTCATGTGAAAGGTTAATCAGTATAACTCACCCTCCCCACTACGCAGTCAAATTCAGTGCCTTCCAGGGTAGTTACAGTCTAAGCCGCTGTTTCGGATAAGCAGAACGTGTCAACTGCAGTGGATCTGAGCCAGGAGCCTTGGCTTGAAAGTAGCTAAGATCTCTGTCCTCCTGGGATTGGCATCTTGAGCCCCTCTCTGCAATCAGTCATCCTCCCTTTCCTGTTTTTTGATTTTTGTTTTCTTAGCACTCCAGTTCCCGCCTGAATTACCAAAGCAGCGTTCAGGGGTCTTCCCAGTCCCAGAGCACGCTAGGCTACGCCTCATCTCAACAGAGTACACAGTACCACCCTCCTCACCAGACCCACCGGTACTGACCCACAGCCTCTGCCTGGCCAGGGCGGCGCCAAAGTCTCCAGCAGGGTGGTGTCTCCATGCAAAACTCAGATGGTGAGAGGAAACCATTGCACACTGAGTGTTTGGAAGGACTGATACCTCCTCTTCTCGACTTGAAGAAGATCTTGTGAAGTGTCCCCAGCCCGCGTCCCCGCATGAACTCCTCGGCGACTCCCTGATGAAGCCTCTGATCTGCCCCAGCACGTCTGTCCTCTTCAGCAGCTTCTGAAGGAGTTTCTGGTGCACCTTTCTCACGCTGTAGCAATCATGTAATTTATCTTTTCTTAAGACTCCAGTGTTTTAGGAACAGGGTTCCGTGGTGTATAGTTTTATACTTCATGAACTGATTTAGCAACATAAGTCAAATGCACCTTTTAAAGCACTGCAGTCTCCACAGACTAACGGCTTTGCTCTTGGAAGTCTTTAAAAAGAAACTTTACCGTCCCAAAGTACTTTACTATTGCGTTTTTATTTATCTCTTTCAGGGAAGGTCTAGTGAAAGACCATTGTGGGACAGGGGTACCCACACCCAAACACAGCGTCGATGTTTGCAGCTGCCACGCTTACACTTACGCCATGAAGAACTGAAGTAGTCAGTGGTTTTTATGTGATTGTTCATGTGGAACTTAGTTCCCAGGATCATCATACTCTGAATAACATTCAGTAATTAAAAATTATAATTTTAACCTTCATGTAGCTAAGTCTACTTTAAAAGGGGGTTTCAAGAGCTTTGATGGAAAAGGTCCTTTGGGGCCCGCGTGGGAAGTCTGAGAGATTGTTAACTGCACTAGGACTTCACCGAGGCGTCGTGCTGATCAAAGACAGCTGTTCCTCTCGAAGGAGAGCAGCTTCTTCATGTGTATCATTGGGCATTGGCTTCTCCAAGGGAGATGTTGATTCCTTCAGTCTCCACATCTGGGTCAGCATGAGTGACTTTCTTACATAATCAAGATAATCAAGGATACTTAAATCAAAGCCTATTCATTCATCCGCAGTGGTTTCCATTTGTATTTACATTAGGCATAGAGTGGCTATTTTTAAAGCATGTTTAAAATTTTAGGTTTTATTCATGTTCAAAGTATGTATTCCGTGTGCATAATTTTGCTGTTGTTACTTAACGCTGTCAAGGACCTTGTCAATTGCACTGAATGCTTTCTTTTGCCCCTAGGAGAAAACTTAATAATTGTGCCTAAAAACTATGGGCAGATAGTGTAGAGTAGATGAGGTGAATATTTGCATTTCCGTGATCTACGAATTAGAGGGGGTTCTCTTTTTAGCTACTTCTAAGGAATCCCTCACCCTCCAGAGTCAAGAGGAAATGTGACAGCGTGGAGCTCCCGTCGTAGTGCAGGAGCAAGAGCGTCTGTTCCCATGCTGCTAGCAGCATCAGCCTTGTTTTCAATGTTTCTGGAGCTAGAAAAAATAGCCCATTGTTGTATATGCAAACTATATGCATTTTTAAAAACTATTCTTGTGAACTTATCTACCTGGTTATGAAACTCTGGGGTCCATATTCAAGTAAAATAAGGTTTTCGAAGCCAGTATACATTTTGCACTACTGATGTGATACTGTAGCCAGCCAGGACAGTGCTGATTTCAGCATAATAATGCTGACAAATAGTAATAAAGGGTGTGTGGTGACAGCATTCCAAGACTGAAGAGGAAGTCATTGGCATGCTTCCCTGGGAGGAGCTTCTGTCTGGCTCCATATGTTTTTATCCCTTGTGTGTTTTAAAATAAGAATCAGCCTCCTGCGTAATGTAGCTTCGTGTGTAAAGTTCTGTCTGGTGCTCTGGAGCCTCTGTCCAGGGTCACTGGTCCTTACTACAGGCTCACTGCTCTGCAGGGCAGAAAAACAAAGAACAAGACGCATTCCTTGTTCCAGCCAATTCAGTGACCATAGATAAGCTCGTGTGGGATGTCTGTGCCATGTGACTGACGTGTGTCATGTGATATGAAGGGCCTTTTGTTTACTTCTGAACCCACTTGGACAATTAATTATACTTCTGAATTTATAGTAAACAGTGTTACAGGGAAGCAGGTATGTAGCTGCCCACTTAAGGAGAAAGCCAGAAAGCCAGTGATTAACTGTCACCAAAGGCATCTATGCATATTTGAAATGTTCACAGCAGCCTTCAGCAGCAATTGGGTGGGCCTTGCGTACAGAGTACATTCTACCAGGCAGTTGCAGGAAATCACGGAAAACAGAAGCTCTGTCCTTGCCCTTGGTGAGCTCACGTTTAATAAAAGATATTAGGCCCAGTCTGTATATAAAACAAAATACCAACAGCTCTTTGTACGAAAACTGGACACCTGATTCTGGCAGTGTGCACTTACACATTCACAGGACGCCCTGGTAAAACTGATGCACACAGAAGGGACCTCGTCAGTTGCTTCCAGCGTTAGAGTTTTCCAGGACGTAGGCAGCCAGCAAACGCAGCCTGCACACAGCTGGGCCCCACATCTCCGCGCTGCTTCTGACCCTTCGCTTTTCTCTTCTTGCCTCAGGGTTGGTGATGCATATCTGCGCCCAGTACTCTTAGAAGTAACTTTTGCTCCTTATTTCCTTTCTCTGTAAAGGAAGGCAAAGCTTTTCATATGAGGTAGGGCCATAGTCCATGGGGTGGGACCTGTGACACTTCTTAAGGGTAGAGTTTACCTCTGTGAGCCTCAAGTGAGTCCTTCCCTCTTTGAACATTTATTAGATACTGTTTTGCCCTGTGAGGACACAGCGGCATCCTCAGACTTATGGGGAACCTGGGAGTCCAGGGCGGTATTGAAAGATTGAGTTGAAAGGTTTCTGTTCTTTTAACTAGAGATCACTTTTAGAGGGAGCTTTGTGGAGGGGTGTTTGGATGGGGACAGACTAGCTGGAAGTAAGGTAGCTTGGGCCTGGGCTGGTAAATACGAGGCTGGAACAATCCTTTTGACGAAGCAGACCATGAAGTGAGGTGCAAAAATCCAGGACATGTTTACTTTTATGTCTGTGCTTTTGAGACCAGGATTTAGAATTCTGCCAGTCTGCACTGTTGCACTGAAACATAACTGATACCTGTAAGACAGGAAGGGATGGCAGCCACGTGCATACATGTTCCCTGCCTCAGCCTGGTGTACAAGTTGCTCGTTGTTCTCTGCGCCTCTGAAAGGGTGCTCTCTCCGTTGCTAAAGGGAAAGGGAATTGAGAGTAAGGTTTGAAGCCTGCTTTGCTTTTGAGTTGTTGGTATGTAGCCTCGGCTGCACACAGAGGAAGACTTGTGTGTGTCTTCAGCTCAGCGTTGCGCCGTAGGAGACGGGGAAGGCAGTAGTAGATGGCCATTGGGCTCAACGGAGGCTTGAAGGAGTCAAGTACAAGTCATAATTTTATATAAAATGTAGCGGTTAGGTCCCCATAATCACCGAGAGTAGTTATGACCATCATAACCCCACAGGTCAGTGTTTGAGGACTCTGCTTTGCGCCCCCCTGCCTTGCCGGGAGGAAGTGCTGCCTATGTGTTATACGGGAAATTACCTAATGCACTGTTATCACCTATAGTGAGTAAATTAAGACTATTTAATTTTTTTAAAGCTTTGTCTGGGTAGACACTAAAAGCATTATACAAAGCCAGGACTGAGGTGTCCTTTTTAATAACAACTGAAAGTACTTTTTATATATGTTATATACAGTATGTCCTTTCTAAACTAGTTTGTATTTCTGATAATCCTATTTGTGAAGTGTACCTGTCTTCCTTTTCCGTCATTTTCTGCACGCTCCCCCTCTGTCTGGCCGTAGATATCACCATGGCTTTCCTTGCTCTGCTGTGATGTGCATACTCCGAGCCTGCTGCCCTCGGTAGCCCGTTCTGGGGATGCAGGATGTGCTGCCTCCTCAGAACTGAGGGCCTCTGCTCTGGAGTTACCCAGCCATCCTTCTCAAAGTGACTGTTTCAGCTACGATAAGTTACATGTATTTTATATTCTTGGTTGAAATAAAATTTAATTAACTTTGTTTCTGTGTGGATTATTTTAGGAGTAGAAAACCTTTAAGTTAAAAAGTATTTATTATGCACATATGTGCATAGACAGAATAGTGCACGTGCAGAACAGTGTACTTACAGGGTCTCTCTGTGTGGCCCTGGCTGTCCTGGAACTCGCTCTGTAGACCAGGCTGGTCTTGAACTCACAGACTTCCGCCTGCCTCTGCCTCCCGAGTGCTGGGATTAAAGGCGAGCACCACCATCACCCTGCTGACCGTGGCAACTCTTAAAAGGGAAACATTTAATTGGGGTGGCTCACATTTGCAGAGGTTCAGTCCATTATTCATCATGGTCGGGGGCATGGTAGCAGGGGCAGGAAGTCGGTCAACTGTCACAGCTCAAGGCCCGCCCCCACAGTCACACACTTCCTCCCACAAAGCCACGCCTACTCCAAGGCCACACCTCCTAATAGTGCCTCTCCCTCTAAGCTCCTTGGGGGCCAATCACATTCAAGCCACCACAGTGTCCCACTTAGCCGATCTGGTGGGGCATTTTCTCAATTGAGGTCTTCTCTTTCCAAACGGCGCCAGCCTGTGCCAAGTTGACATACAGCCAGCCAGCACAGGTCCTATGCTACTCATAGAATAGATCTTTCTTTTGGAAAGCTTGGTTTGTTCACCTTCCTTTCTTAAAACCATCTGGGTAAGAGAACATGGCCTAGATGGACCCTTAACACTCCCTGGGAACATAACACCCCCTAGAAGGCTCAGTCACTGCTCCAAGGTTTCGGGAACTTACGACTGACAGGATACATACCCAACACTGGCCAGTCAGTAACATCACTGCCTACTTGCATAGAAATCATGGACTGTATATGATGCCGAGTTTGTGTATGGGCAAAGTAAAGAGTTCTGATGGGTGAAAGCCATTTTAGAGATTGCTGATTGTGGAGTACACACTGCCATGGCCTCCTCAGTCACCCCATGTTTCCTGCCTGCTGTCCGAAGCCTGGTTTGCTAACTCTGCCCAGGGTGACATGTCTTCCCATGAAGGCTGGGCCTTTGTAGCCAAAAAGGATGGATATTGTTGGTTGGTCAAAGTGAGGGCAATGGGTTTTGGTCTTGGCAAAATTGATTTAAGCAAGGGCTTTTAACCTACCAACCAGAATAATCTGAGGCAAAGTCTTCAGGGGGGCAGTTTCTAGAAGGATTTGCTTTGAGCTTAAGAAGATTAACCTCTAGACACTTGTGAGAAGCTGTGACAAGCTGTGAGGACCAGGAAGGGACCCAGCCTCACAGGACAAGCTGTGAGTGCCAGAGAGAACGATGGAAAGAGCTGGAACCTACAAACGTAACTTTAGATCAAGAAGTTGACTCCCTGAAGCTGCTCTGACTCTGGACTTCTTTTCTGAAAGATTGTATTTTTTTTCCAAAGTGCAATTATATTGGGGCTTTCTGGCATTATCAGTCAAGACCTCCAGCTCTAAGGGGTTTGCCTTAGTGTTAAGATCACAGAACCCCTGCGGCATTGTGTCCGGAACATTCTTTTTCTGAAAGCCTTGGCAGATTATGGTGAGTGTCTCTTCCCATATTCCAAGCTCTGAGACCTCTAGATTTAAATGAATAGCTCTAATATTAGCATGTGTAGGGTCTCCAAATTAGAAATTGAAACATTTACTCCTTAGCCGCAGTGACAGGCTAAACAGTAGATAAATAGATGATAAATAGTGCTCGGTGCTCTGACAATAAAATCTCTCGATGCCTCAGGCATCCACAACAGATCTGGGCCTGTCCGTGTTTTCTGTGCAGCTGTCTGTCTGGGCTGGGGCTCTTCTGTTTGCATTCATAAGCTTGTAGCCGTTTCCCCCCACCCCCTCACACCCCTGCAAGACACTGGAAGACAGCCTGGCCCTCTGCCTTGCAAGTCCTGGGCTCTGAAAGTACTGTGAAAGCGTTTCCATACAACCTGCCTCCGTCACTCAGCCTCCACCAAGAGTCTGTCTGGTTTGATACCCATGGTTAACACGCAGGGTCCCCCCCATCCCATACTTTTATTAGTTTATGTTGTATCTGCCTGCACTCCCCCTGCCAAATGAATGGAGGTGTTACGGTAGATGGTTGAGCTAGGGAGATGGGCTCAGTGGCTAAGAGTGCTTGCTTTGCAAACATGAGGCTGTGAGTTCGGATCCCACACACCCGTGTAAAAAGCTAGGCGTGTCTACATAAGCCTGTAACGCCCAGCACTGGGGGACAGAGGGGTAGAGTTAGGACACTGCCTAGCCAAAACAGATCTACGGGTTCAGTGAGAGACATTGTCTCAAGGCCATGGAAATAGCCTATGTTCTCTGCACATTCACGTGCACCCACCATATACATACTATTATGGGTTACCTGAAAAGAACCCTTCCTGAATAAATTGAATGGAGTCTTTATTAGCCACTGGAGGGACTGTCCCAGGCCAATTAGAGGAATGCAGCCTGGACTTCCAGTTTGAGGTTTTAAGGGCAAAAAAATGCAGTTGTGACATAGACCGAAAAGCAGTTCTGGAGAGAGAACAATGAAATGATCAGGCACTTAGCCTTTAGCTCAGGGCCACATTGTAGAGGAATTTAGGGCTGGTCCAGAGACCGGTTTTACCCAAGATAGTTTTTGCGCTTAAAATATTCTTAGGAACATGAACACGTTCATGAGATGACATAACTGTAGTTCACTAGCCCATTACAAAACCACACGCGCCACACACACAGAAGAAGGTGGGCTTGGTTAGCGTATTGCCTAGGCCAATAGTCTTTAAGCCTGTCCTAGACTCCACACCCCTTTTTATAATAAATTTGTAACAGTCATGTGGAACCCGCTTTTGTTCAAAATCATGGACTCTTGAGTGAGAGGAGGTAGGATCAAAGCATGGTATGGTGGCCGCCTTTTAAGCCTGTCTCCATTGCTTTGGCACAAACTGCTGCTTGATGATCCTACTGGGAGTGTCTGTCTGCCTAACCTCTCTCATACTCCTTGAGGCCATCAGTATAGGAATACGGCACTGTCTGAGTCCTGACTCCTGTAACAACAGGACGAATCCCCCTCCTCATCTCCAACCCCCTCACCCGACATGGTAATTACTGTTAATGATGGTGGGGCTATCATCTGGGGCAGGCTACTTTATAGGAACCAGACTGGCCTCTTGGGAGGTGACAGCCCTAGTCAGCAATTTATGGAACTACCTTGCAGTATAGAGAGAAAAAGTCATGAACCACTTAGGAAACCCCTTCCATATAGGGCCCAGTCTACGAGTGAGCATGCTCAGAAGTATTGACCCACCCACGAGACGTTTACTAGACATTTAGATACCGTTTTCCTGGAAGTCATTGGCTCCTCTCTTAGGCCTAGAAAGAACTCAACAGTGTGAAGTCAAACATCCACATGTTCATGCTTAACTCTGTACATACTCATTACTCAGTCACACACGAGGCATCTGCCCAAAACCACTTGCTGCTTAACCTACTTCATCCTGCTTTGAGGCCAGAGACAAAGAGCAAACTTTCCACTGCCTGCTTTTGCAATCTCCCATCCCTAAGGAAAGCCTTCATTCGGTGCCCTGACCGTCCAGGGACAACAGAGCCTCTCCCAGGTAGATGACCCTATGTTGAAATCATCCCCAAGCATAAGTAGTCATCTCCAGGAACTTCCCCCACAAGCAGTAAGGACCTGAGGCCCTCGCAGGCACGGAACTGGGATAGTGACCAAGCCGCCTGTATCTTCGCCGAGACTGCGCCTCTCTTGCTCTCGTGATGGCTAAAGAAGCTCCGTTTTGCTGGGTAGTGGCAGCGCGCGCCTTTAGTCCCAGCACTCCGGGCAGAGGCAGGTGAATCTCTGAGTTCCAGGCCTGTCTGGTCTACAGAGTGAGTTCCAGGACAGCCAACGTTACATGAGGAAACTCTGTGTCAAAGAACCAAAGGAAAAAGAAAGGAAGGAAAGAGGAAGGAATGGAGGGAAGGAGAGGAAAGGAAGGAAGGAAGGAAGGAAGGAGAGGGAGGAAAGGAAGGAAGGAGGAAGGAAGGAGAGGGAGGAAAGAAGGAACGAACGAACTCCATTTTATACCAGGCATTCATCTTAGTACCCACCAGCCTTTGTCTCTGACTCCAGTCCCTGGAAGTTGAGTTCCCAGTTACCCTGACTCAGTACAGCCATGACTATTTACTTGTTATGATATGACTAACTGCTGGTTTGGTTTCTGTTAACTTGCTTAAACAGATACCCAAAGATTGTTTTATGTTGCCTTGACCTCTTAACTTGGCAGAACAGAACAGTTGTTGCTTGCGTAGATAGTGAAGCTCTTCCCGTGGTTTCCCCTTCCCACACCCCCCCTTCAGGACATGCCTGACGGATGCCAGCCTGCCAGTCTTTGATTATGGTTGGGTTGAGTCTATGGTCTTTCCCCAGGGGGCACAAATTCCATAACACCCTCTGGCCTGATTCCTCTTCGAAACCTAACCCTCATGCTGTGACTGTCCCAAGTAGAGTTGAGGTCACTAAGTTTATTTATCTGTTCCCAGTGTACCCATGTATCCTAAATCCTATCTCTGTCTTTCACCATTATTCATCTCTTCCACTAGCCTGTTGGCTGCCCCGGGCCTGGGCTTTTACCTGAAAACTTAGGTAATTGTTCTAGAGCAATCCACTGAGTCCAACCTCAACCAAGGCTGGAGAAAAGATTATTTATTTATGCTGGACAATTCAGAACTTGACCCTAAACACAGCAGGCTCTGAGGTGAATGCCAAAATGCGAGTTTACTGGTTCACTGCCCTTAGTTCTCAAACGCATGGTATGGACAAGCCAGAGGGTGCTGTCAGCCAAACCCCGGGGAGGGCCCATTCGTGGGGGTAGCTCTCTGTTGTTTACCGGATGAGTGCCCATTCTCTCCTCTTCTGGCTGGGTTCTATCGGTCATGTGCTTACCTCTTGAAGCTAGAAGCCATTTGGTTCTTTTTATTGAGACTCCTTATATTTGCCGTCACTGTCATGGCTTCAATTGTGGA